AAACAGACTCGCCTCCCTCCCTCCACTCATTAGAAAATGTGTTGGAGCTGGAATGGACCTGATGTGGCCTAACTTACCTGGTTTTCATCATTCTTCTCTGGGAACTGGATGTTGACATCATGCATAGTGCGGATGTTTGTAATGACGGCGCCTTTGCGCCCGATGATTTTTGGGTGATGCTTTGGGTCCACAGTGATGGTCAGCTTGAAGCTCTTGAGTGCCTGTTGGAGGTTGAGGGGAAAATGGCTCGTTAAGTTCAGCATCTGGCACATTTGCTCCCCCCGTTTAAATGTAATTAAGTTCATTTGAGAATGAGACCTTTCAATCAAAACTTCTATATTGTCAACTACAATTTACATTGAAATCGAAATTTCAGTTTCAGACAACCTGAAATAATTTTTGACCATAAAGAAGCCACGATAGAGTATTAGGGCCAGGATAGAGATTCTTTTATTTTACTTCAAGAATAAAGTCATAACATTACGAGAATAAACTCATTATTTTTCAATTTTATTCTCAGAAAATTATAACAACCAGTTTCAGAAAGAAAGCTTGGAGCTCCGCCCATCAGATGATGGCCGACCAGCTCCACCAATCAGCAACCAGAGTCCACTTTGACATCCTGCCCAGTTTGATGCTGCGGCTAAAAGATTTCCTGATTTGTCAAACTGATGCTAAAGTAGAACTTAACATGATGCTCCACATTCCTCATTTTAGGGAGAACAGGGCTTCTTGGAAGAGTTGTAATAAAATACAACTTTATTCTCCCACTGCTCCCACTTTATTCTCGTAATAAAAACAAAGTTTAAAACCAACCCGATCCTCCTGCTCAGCCTGCAGCTCCTTGACTCGCTCCAGGAGGCCCTCTTTGGCGCGGTCAAGGTGAGAGGCCAAGCCGGTGATGGCTATTTTATCACACTGCTGGTCAGGAGGAGGCACTTGAATGTTCACCTGAAAACATTTTGAGCTCATGAGAAAAAAAACATCCCTAAAAATCTAATATTTTAACACCAATTTTATAAGACAGCACACCTCAAATTCATCCATCATTTTACGGATTCCACTTCCTTTCTGTCCAATGATGTATCGATGAAGCTCAAAAGGCACTTCCACCTCGATGGTGACGGGAACCAGGGCCTACAGACGGAACTCGTTTAGATGGGAAGGAATAAATACCAAGGCAGTCTTTAGGCGTCTGCTCTGACCTTTAGCGCCTCCACAGCCGACTCGCAGCGCTCTTTGCGTCCAGAAATCAAAATCACGTCACACTTTTTGGGAGCATTGGGGTCGACCGGTTCCTTCGCTTCACCGTCAGCTTCTCCGTTCTCCTGGATAGGAGCTTCAGCAGGAGGCGCTGCTAAAGAAACATAAATAATGAAGGCTGGAAATGACAGAGCAAATCGACTCCTCCCTCTTTGGACGAACATTAATGAGGAAGTACGTGACGCAGCTTTTACCTTGTGGATCCTCACGTTCTGGAAACTTTATCTGCACATTATGATCTCTGGTGATCTGCTGGATCCTTGATCCCTTGGGACCCATGATAGAACGGTGGAACTTCTGAGGGATGACGCACTCAACAGTCACCTGGGCATCCTGGAGAAAAATAGATTTAGATTAAAAATCAGGTAAAAACTAAACCAAATAAAGACAGCAAGTTATTACTGACCAAGTCCTCGACTATCTCCAGCATGCGCTTCTTGGCTGCTTCCACACATTCTTTGGCTCCTTTGAGGGTGACCTTCTCGCTCTGAGAGCCAGTACGAGGGAAGCTCACCATCACCCCTCCGTACTCATCTGCCAGGTCCCTGAGGACCTGACCCCGGCGCGCCACAAAGTAGCGATGATGCTTTGGGTCCACGCTCATCGTGTCCTCCACCACGTTGTCCTGAAACCACAAAGATACGGTTACCATTTTAACCCAAGAGAAAAACAAAGGTTTTTATATCGTTTCCTAAAAGCTGGGGAGTCGATCGTTTTATATTAAACCATTTCCAAAGGTTTAGGCAGAATAATTATAAATCATTATATAATCACACTCGTCTCTGTATTTTATTCACGCAGCAGTCTGAGGTTGGCGTCTGTCACTGACTGACATATCAGAGAAGCTCATTGGCTACCGGGTGACGTTGCCAGACAGGAAACTGTGCTCTGCAGCTGCCCAGCTGTTAGCTTCAACAAGCTAAGTTTTAGCTACTAAATGAGCACCTATGCTAACGTGACCAAAGGTCCCCGCTTTGAATGACCTGCAGCAGAGAGGAGCCATCTTTGACTTCAGCCTCTGATGGATGAGACGAAGATAGAAGCTGCAGAAGGTGAAGAACGCCTGTCGCTCATAAAGCAGCAGCTGGTCAGTTACAGTAGAAGAGCTGAGCGCGGCCTTTAAATGAAACCAGAGAGCGCCGGCGCATCACCTCCGACAGGAGCCGTCCCGTGGCATTATGGGATGTTTGAAGCGATTCGTTTTGTTTTCACTGAGATCATCACTGCTGAGACTAAAGCTTTTCTTCAAATGTTGACGTTTGCCCCAGTTAAAAAAAAAGAAAAATATATAAAATACAAAGGAGTGGGATGTTTTGCTTTTGTTTTTAAACAATAAAGCAGCTTTTATTTGTATTTATTTTTTTAAACCACCCCGATAAGTAAAGAACAGAGCAGGTGGGTTTAACAGACTTTAACAGGATGATTTTTTTAAGAATCAAACAGGGAGTTTGATTGCATTTTCAGAGCAGCTGTCTGAACTGTGGTCTGATCCAAGATGGCTGCCCTCTAGACACGTCGGCCAGCATCCAATGAGACGTCTCCGTATACGTCATCTATGGGTTGAGTTAGTTGAAAGTTTGCTTCTGCAATGATTTACATCTCTATAGATTCAGAGCTAAATTACAGCTTTGAACTGATTGTAGTTTCTGATTTAAAGCCGTTCATGAAAACCCTAAAAAAGAAGAGAAAAACAAAGCTGCTAAATTTAAAAACGTTTAAATCTCCTGGACTTACCAAACCCTTGATCAGCTCCTCCAGCTCCTTCTGGGCCGTCCGCACCGCCTCCTCTGTGCCGACCACAGTGATGACTTCTTGGTCTTTGTCCTCAGAGGCGGGGAAGATGATTCTGGCTCCGGTGCTGTCACGCACCTTCCGGATGTTTCCGCCCCCTTTTCCGATCAGAAACTTGTGGTATTCTGGCTTTGCGTGCAGCTCGACAGTGAAACTCTTTATTTGCTATAAAAAAAAAACGTTATAAAAAAAAATAAACTTTAACTGAAAGATAAACTAGATTCTAAGATAAACTTTGATACAGCATAACAAAGGTTGTGCTACAAAGTATCAAGCTGAACATTTCTTTTTAATCAAATAGTTAATTTCCATCATAATTTCAAATGACCATACAATGTGATGCATGATGAAAATGACAGATCCCATCTTTCCTAGTCATAGCTCTCCCACCATCAGTCCGTGAGGCAGACACCCTGTCTACTTTTAAGGCTAGGCTTAAAACTTTCCTTTTTGATAAAGCTTCTAGTTAGAGAGGCTCAGGTTATCCTGAGCCATCTCTATAGTTATGCTGCTATAGGCTTGGACTGCTGGAGGACATAGGGACCCCTTTTTCATCATTCTATCTCTATTCTCCCACTCTGCAGAATCTGTTAGTTCAATCTCTAACGTTCTGCTCTCTCTGCTTTTTCTCATAGTAGCTTCATCTGGTCTGTTCCTGTTTGGCTGTGACTCCATCCTGGAGAGAAATATCAGCTGTGCTGCTGCCATCAACACCTTTGTTTCTAGATGTTGGAGCTTGGCCTGTTTTCCAGTGTAGTCCTGTTTCTCTGACTGTGACTAACTGGATGTGCTCTCTTCATCCTCTGACATGGGAGCTGGCTCGGAGCTCGTCTGCCTGGCTGTGTGTTTCCTGGACGGGGCCGCCTGTGGAGCTGGTTGACAGTTGCCTTTTGTATCTATGCTTCTTTTTCTATGTCTGCTTCTGTCTCCTTGAACCCCAGTGGGCCTCAGCAGATGGCCGCTCACACTGAGCCTGGTTCTGCTGGAGGTTTCTTCCTGTTCAAAGGGAGTTTTTCCTCTCCACTGTCGCTACAAACAGGGATTGCCTTTGAGTCAATGAGTCGATGCAATCAGTTTTTCTTAGATAAACTTTGAATCAATCTGACTGGATGATCTGGTGAACTGGAAAGTGACTACAGATGACACACGTGAATTGGCGCTACAGAAATAAACTGAATTAAATGAACTAAATACTAATCTGTCCCACTATAACCGATTGACCACCCATCCCCCCCGCCCCCGACAGGTTCATCAATACAAACCTTTTCCTCTGCCAAAGCAAGCAGCTGCTGCTTTGCTTTCTCCACCTCCTCCACAGGCCCCCGGATGGTGACTTTATCTATCCCTGATCCCTCAGAAGGAAAGTGGATGTGCACGCCGCCGCACTCCTCCATGATGGAGCGCACCAGACGGCCCTTTGAACCAATCAGGGAGTTGTGCAGCTTTGAGGGGATGGACACATCCATCTCTGTGATGTTGGCCTGCAAGCAGAGAGCGGATGATCAAACTGGAGTTTTTTTTTTTAAGATGGCGTGATGGCAGCAGTCCTCCGTGTTTACCAGCTCTTTCTGAATCGCCAGAATGCGGTTCTTTGCAGCTTCGCAGTTCGCCTTCTTCCCAGTGATGACGATCATCTCAGAGTTGCTGTTTTCTGCAGGCAGGTCGATTTTGGTGTTTGTTTCCTCTCGGATCTACGACAGAAACGACCAACACTGATCAAAAGGCTGCTCTCACGGACCGAGCTGTTCTGTTAGCGACATCCAGCACCTTCTTGATGTTGGACCCTCCTTTTCCAATGATGTTCCTGTGAAACTGCTTGAAGATGGGGACGGAGAGAGAGTAGCTGTTCTCCACCTACGGCAGATGGGGAAAAAGGCATCAAACCAGAAGCTGAACACAATAGCTGCACTGCTGTGGCGCTCGGAATGGAAAGCTCACCATTTCAGCCACCATCTTGCCCATGAACTTGGAGCATTTCTCAACCTCGTTCCGCGGCCCTCTGAGTTGAACGATGTCACTCTTCTGTGCTGGGTCAGGGAAGTTGATAATGACCTGGAAGAAACCGACTCGTTTAGAGACATTTTCTATAGAGATGACCGTTAGCGAACTGATAAAAGCGGTTCGGACTGACCTCTGGAAATTTGTCCCGCACTTCCTTTATCTTCTCCCCTTTTTGGCCAATGATGGCTCTATGAAAACGCTGTTCGATGATCAGGTCCTTTGTACGCTCGTTCTCCTGCAAACCCAACAAGTTCTTTAGCGACACGTGGTTCTGTAGTTAGACCACACAGCGTCCGTCTACCAACCATGCGTGACGCCAGCTCTAGCAGCTCCTTCTTGGCTTCCTGGACACCCTGGGGATCCCCCTCTATACGGATCAGGTTGCTCTTCTCGTTGTCAGGAGGGATGCGGACAGTCACCTTGTGCAGCTCTTTGATGCGGTTGACTAAGAGTGAAAATCGAAAACGATGTTTTTAGTTTAAAGAAAAGCTTACAGCTCATGTAGCTTCAGGATTTGATGGAACAGGCTTACTGTTGACGCCGCCTTTTCCAATCAGGTGACGATGGAATTTAGGATCCACAGAGATCTCCGCATAGTCCATTCGACTTACCTGTTAGAAAGGCAAAGAATATTTCTGATTGGATCATTTTATACCACATATTCACTGGTTGGTCTAATCCAGGCCTCTGCAATCGTTACAATCCAAGGAGCCATTTCTGACTTCAGTCCAGCAAAGAGCAAAAAAAATATAGGGTGCCACAGCACAAATAATTGGATAAATGTATAATTAATCTATTAAAACTGAAAATATAGAACATATCATGAACCTCAAATATATATTTTTTTCTAAAAATAGTGAATTCAATTCTGTTATGATTTAATAGATTTCATGTTTGTGCGCTAAAGCACACCATGACTGAATTTAAACCGTCACACATCCATCAAAATAAAGGAGGCAGGACTAGGGCTGCCTCCATAGAAACCCTGACATCTGATTGGCTGCTTTTCACTGAGAAAGATCACTTTTTCCTGGAAATGTAAACCATTTTCTACAAAGTGTTTTTATTTATATGCAGCACACTGGTGAGTAATACCAGCCTCTATACTTTTAGTTCGGTAGGTTAATAAGAGAAGGTGAGCTGCTGTTAGTGGGCGGGGCCAACATTGAGTCTGGCTGTCTGTTCCATCGTAAATTATTAGATATACATAAGATCAAACTAGACATACAGACGCTAGAGTCGCTCCTCCAATGTGCAAATAGATCGGAAGAAATTTGTGAAGTTATTTTGGCCTTTTTCAGAGAAAATATTGACTTTAAGAGTAAAAAACCAGGAGAACGTCCACCATATTTCTCAGTGAAAAGCAGCCAATCAGACGTCAGAGTTTCTGAGGTTAGTTTGGCCCCGCCTCCTTACCTTTGATAGATGTGTGACAGTTAACTCATGGCGTGCTTCAGCTCAAGAACATGAAATAATTAATTTAATCATGAAATTATATTAACTTTTTTAAGAGTAAAAACAAAAAACATTTAATTGCATATTACCAATTATAATTAAAATCTGTATTATTAGCTTTGATTGCATTGTGGACACTACACAAAAAAGATAGATACCTATACTTAAATATCTTTAACAGAATTTCTTGTCCTATTAAATGAGAGATTTTTTTTTCTTCATTTTAACTTTTAAAATGAAAATATTCTTTTTTTTCCTTCAAAGACAGTTTTGAAGAATTAAAGAGCAGAAAGTGCAGATATTTGTGTTTAAATGTGGTGAATAAAAGTGAAAGATCTTGAGAAAAATCAATCAAAGTACAGAAACCTGAACCATCTGTAGGTGGTTAGTCCACATCTCTGGAATGTAACCAGAGCTACTAGTGTAGATATTCATAGTCACAGTAGATCAACAGATCCAGTCTCAATAAAAGCATTTAAAGCTACATGTTGGTGTAACTTCAGCAAACAACCATTTTAAGACAGTTTTCCAGGGAGCCACAGACGGCTTTGCAGAAAATGTTTGGGTTTTTATCTTTAGAACTCACCTGAGAGCATTTTTAGATTACAGACTTAGGAATACGGAGGGAACTGAAAGATTTCATTTTATATCATCTGTAGAAAACCTAACCTCTGCTGCTACCAGCAAACAATGTCAGTCCTCACCAAGTCCGTAACAATGGCTTCAATCTGACCCTGCACCATTTGCACGTCTTTGGTTGGTCCTTCCAAGGTGATTTTATCTTCGCCCTCAGTGAACTCAATGTGCACCTAAATAAAAAGATCAGTAACGTTAAGACCAAGAACACAGAGCTTTGATTTCCCACTCAGACGGCTCTCACCTTGGGCATCTGTTGGGTGATCTTAGCCAAGTTCTGTCCCTTTTTGCCAATAATGAAACGATGAAGCCAAGAAGGAGCCGACACCGAGGAAACAGTGTAACTGTTTGCCTGCAGTTAAAAACAGATAACAGTTAATTTTCCATTAATTCCCCTCCTCTACCCCCCCTTCCTTTGAAAGCAGCCTGACCTTGGCGTAAACTTCAGTGAGGGCCTGCCCCAGGCGGTCAGGCTCCCCACGAAGGATGACTGTTTCTGAGCTGTTGTCAGAAGGTGGGATCTCAACCGAGACTCCAGTTTTATCCAGGATCTCCTGCAGGGTGTTTCCCTTGGGGCCGACTACGTACTTGTGCTGAGACTTCTTCACCTCCACCGCTATCGTGGTCGTGTTCTTCCTCTGCAGGAGACAATTTTAAATCAATTCACTTTATTTCTATAACATAGTTCAACGTTTTCTAAGGAAAACCAGCTGATTGCATCGAGTCATTGACTCTTCAGCAATCCCTCACACTAAGCATGCTTGTAGCGACAGTGGAGAGGAAAAACTCCCTTTGAACAGGAAGAAACCTCCAGCAGAACCAGGCTCAGTGTGAGCGGCCATCTGCTGAGGCCCACTGGGGTTCAAGGAGACAGAAGCAGAGAAACACTCGCTGTGTGAAACATTTCCCCCCCCTCATCCACATACCTTCTCCTCGTAAATCTTCTTGATCAAAGTCACAGCAAGGGCCACCTGCTCCTTCTCCCCAGTGATGACGATCTCGGTCTTATTCACGCTGGGAGGGGGGACGTTGATACGAGCGCCTGTTTCCTGCGTCATCTCTGCCACTACCTTGTTGTAGGCCCCGGTGATAAAGGGATGGTAGACCTTATCGATGTTCACCCTCTCCACAGCACGCTTGTCCTTTAAACAAAGACCAGTTCATGGAGAAATGAAGTCATCCACCTGCAGAGGTTTCCAGGTGTCATGCTGCAGGGTGTTGAACATTACCTGCTCAGCAGAGATCAACAGGATCTCATGCTTTGCCTTTTCGAGACCCTCCTTCGTCCCAGAGATCTTGATCTGGTTGCTGGGGTCGTCGGGTCGTGGGATCTGGATTTTGGTGGCGGTCTTGAGTTCTAGCTCCTGAAGCTTCTCCCCGTTTTTGCCGATGACAAAACGATGGTGTTCCTTCGGGATGGCGACAGTAGCTGAAGCCTGTTGGGGTTAAGGGGAGAAAAAGAAAATTATTCTATCATCCGTCTCCAAAGCAACGTGTGTTGAACGACAAATTAGAAAGCTGCATACCTGAGTCTGCAGTCGGGACACGATCTCCTTACGGGCCTTCATCACGGCCTCCAGCTTCCCAGAAACCATGATGGAGAGGCCCTGGTCTTTAGCCAAGGAGAGCTCCAGGTGGGCTCCAGTCTTGTGCATGATGTCCACACAGACCTTGGCCTGGTCTCCTTCTCCAAACTGGTTGATGTCCTTGTACTTGCGCTCCTCCAGCGGCACATGGAAAACCTGGATCATACAAGGAGGAGGATCAGATTTAGAGTTTTTGCTGATTGTGCACTGATTGTGGAACGATGCCCACAGCGAAACAGGTGCAACCTGTGAAGTTATGGAGAAAAGGTTCAAATTTATTTTACATCCTTAGAGAGATAGAGCTCTGACTGGGGCAGGCCCAGCACACACATTTATACTGTATAAATCCCAAAACACTCTCCATTGGAACCATCCCACCCCTGAATAAAGAACTTTCTCACACACAAACATTTGGAGGAAAACAGCAGTTCATCAATGACATTCCCTGATAGGTTAATACATCTTTTACTGGCCAGATAAACATTTCACAACAACCGTCTTCTGTTCACGGCATGAGGAAGCCTTAAGCATGTCTCTATATTTCACCTTTGTCTAGAGTAAGGAGGTAACTGCTTTCTGTTATTCCTACCGTAAACATAACAGCACAGAGGCTGATACAAGATTTCTCTAAACTCACTCCAACTAGGCCAAGAAAAAGCACAATCTAAATATATAATCTCACAAACAGGCCGAGGAAAAACAAGCTTTCACAACCTTCATGAAGGAAGGAAATTAATTGTCAAATCAAAGGTTTATAATATTGAACCCCCAAATCTGATTAACTGACGTCCGCTTAAACCGGTGGTTCCCTGAGAGGGTTTCACAATCAGATAAATAATAACTTGGAGAGGTTTCAAACATTTTTTGGGAAAGAATAAAATTAACTTTCACCACAAATTCTGTTAAATGGTAAAATGAAAAGTTAATTTTATTACAGTTCAAAAGCTGTACATTTGTGATTAAAAGATTATAGTTAATTTATTTCACTATGGTTTACTGCTGCTTACTGTTGACTCTTTTTTTTGCCTCCTCCAATAAATGTTAAGTTTACTTATGTTATCTTGCGTCTGCCTCCCGTTATGGTGCGTGCACATCGAGCGCGGTGATTTACTCCAGCAGGTAGTTCACCGCTCTGCAGTGTTTACACCCTGGACCGCATCATCAAATAGGAGGAGCTTCAGCTGGGTGAAGCAGAAACCCCACTGACATTAAAAAACTCAGCAATAGACTGAATAGTTATTGCTTCTTCAAGTCCCAGTGCTGTATCTGGTGTTTGTCACAACGCGCTATTATCCAAGTCATCTTGAAAACATTCTTCTTCCAAATGTTGGCTACATATTACGGGTTTTTTCTCTGGCCAGAAGTTCGATGGCAAATCCTCCCTCTTCAAGTTGGCGATCCAACGACCAACCCGTCCGTGGAGGATCAGGAATCAGAAAGGTGGAATAACTCTTTTTTTCCACTTTTACCCAATGTATTCTAGGGGTGGAACGGTTCACAAAATCCACAGTTCGGTTCGGTATATGTTGATTGTTAGCATGACATGTTGGTCATGTTGCTGTTAGCATAAACAAAACGTGTTGCACAATGCTTGCACACTGTTGCACTTTTATCCACAGCTTTCTTCCCGCCGTCATCGTAGGTCACTCTAAATGCAAAGTGGTCCCATACAGCAGACCTATAAAGTGCTGCTGGCGCGTCTTCCAGCTCCTGTTCTTTCCCACTCACCATACCCACACAATTCTCCACAACAACTGATTTTTTTCTGCTACACCCGGCTACGCTGCTTCGCTTCTTCTTCTTCTTGTTTACTACTGGTGGTTGGCTTTGGTCGCAGTAGCGCCACCTTCTGCTCTGGAGTGTAAACGCTTCGCCTATGAGAAAAAGGAGCAGCGCATGAACCGAACGCAACACACGCGAACCGAACCGAGACAGTCGAACCGAACGGTTCGGACGGTTTTCATAAACCGTTCCATCCCTAATATATTCCAGCATCCAGCTGCCATGCACGTGGGCATTGTCAGTTTCACTATAGCTCTGGTGAATTTCAATGGTGAAGTCCTCTGGAAATCTTCAATAATTGTTGTTGATTGCAGATGTGTCTAGTAGTTCCCATTGATTTAGCTTGGAAAGCGGGGAGAATGGCGCTAGGCTTACCGCACCGTGACGTCACTGCTGGAAGATGGCAGGAGGGAGGGGATACTAGATTTGGGCAAAAATGGCCGCTCCTGAATGAAAATGATTTTTTAATTCCTTGCTGACCGTACTTTTCCTTTAAGAAAACAGTCAACAGGACTTATTGACTGTAGATTAATTTAATCTATAACTGCGATCAACGGAAATTATAAACTGATAAATGGACATTAAGTCAGTCCAATAACTCTGAAATACAGCATCAGGAGTGTTGGTTGTATAATAGCAGTGGTGCTGGTATACCTGGGTGATGATGGAGGACTTCAGAGGGCGAATCTTTGATGTCCACGCGTTGGCGGTTTCCTGCGTCCCCTCAGGTGTGGCCGCTTTCTCAGGAAGAGGTGGGAAGGCATCCTTGTAGGTAGGAAGGTCTTCCTCATCTTCACCACTGGGGCCTCCAGCAGCTAAAGGAAAAAAAAAAAGTCAGATGAAATTTCTCTGCTTACTAAAAATAAACAAGCAGAAACGATGGACTCACCGCCACTCTGCTCTGGCAAAAGCCCACTGCGGTGCTCAATGAAGCTTTCCTGCGTAAGTACAGCGACTGAGCTCATGGTTAGGATCCCACGTCAAACACAGAGTCCGAGCGTTCCACTGAGGAGAAACAACCACAGGGTGAATAACACGCAAAGCAATGGCTTCAAAATGAACACTTATTTCACATTTTTATTAGTTGGAAAAGTGTTTAATGTTATTTGACTTGCTAACATAAAATATCTCAGTCATGTAGGGAAAATTACTTTGTTCTGCTGAATTATGACAAAGTATTTACACCAATGGCTTAGGGCGGGGCAATATGAAGAAAATCTAACCTCACAATATATTTGGGCTTTATATCGCAATACACCATATATCCAGATATGCTTAAATTACCTTCAAAAACAATAGAGTGCATTAAATTGCACTGATGTAGTGAAATTTTTGGTTTCTAATTTTATTTTAACCATCTCAAAGCTTTTCACTAATATTCACTAATAATTCTATGTCGTCTTTGGGTGTCGATATTAGACCCTTATCAAGATTCCAGCAACAAAACAGGAAACAAAGCAAAAACATTCAATACTAAATAAAATGAAAAATAAGGGCTCTTTTGGGCATTAATAATAAAAAAAAATGCGGAATGAAAAAAGAAAATTACACATAAAAAGTGGAAATACTGTCCAAAAATTAAAGGCATTACCAGCATCTCAGAATTATTAGTAATGATCTTTAACTGATGTGAATTTTAAAGCAGCACAAAAAGTTATAAAGTTTAGAACATTACCAAGTTTAGAAAAGGCCTGTAAAACCGC